GGGAGCAGAAAGCAGAGCAGCAGATGAGGAAAGGAAGCACAGTGTGGGGAGCAGAAACCAGGGCAACAGATGGAGATGGGAAGCCTGTGGTAGGGGGCAGACTGGGCAGGGAGCAGAAAGCAGAGCAGCAGATGAGGAAAGGAAGCACAGTGTGGGGAGCAGAAACCAGGGCAACAGATGGAGATGGGAGCTGAAAGCAGAGCAGTGGATTGGGCAGGGAGCAGAAAGCAGAGCAGCAGATGGGGCAGGGGACCAGAGCAGCACTCCAGGAGGGGGCTGGGCTGCTCTGTGGCCCCCTACCACAAAAGGTTGGCCCCACCTTACCCTAGCGCCGCACCGGCAGTGGATGGGGGCAGCCCGGCTCTGACACGAAGGCCATCTCGGCCTTTTTTCGCTCCCTTCTGGCTGCTCCTCGCAAGCTTGGCCTGCAGGGAGAGGGGCCGGGGCACTGCAGAGGCTTTTAAACCCCTGGCTTTGGACAGGACTGGCCTGTGCTGGAAGTCAGGCCTGGGCGTGAACTCTTTCCTGGCCCTGGGGCCTCAGCGACTTGGCTCTAGGGCGGTGGTCACTGCTGGAGAGGAGCACGCGTGATTTGTGCCGTTCCACACGCGTGCATCGGATCCGCACAGCGGACAAACAGAGTCTGGTCTCTTAGGCATTGCATCCATGGCTGATAATGGAGCCTCTGGTGCCAGCCAGAGCCAGGAAATACTGCTTGGAGCTGGTGATAACAGCCATCTCTCTCTTGCGTGGAGTCCCCGAGCCCATGACTCTCAGTCTGGGCTGTGTGAGAGCCATTTAAGGGTGCTGCGGCATCTCAGCCCTGTGCAGACGCCCACATGTGCCCCACGAGAGAAACCCGGAGATGTTCCCGGAGGAGTCCAGACAGTCACCACCATCCTTGCAACAGAAGAATCGCTGCAGGATTTTTCCGTGGCCAAAAACTCTCTGTGCCCTCTGGATAAAGTCCTTGGGCCCAGGTGTAGCCAGTTCACCCTTGTCTTATCCTCTGCCAGGGGCTATTTTAAACACCATATTTTCTCATGTACCACATGCACCTCGTTTCCAAAACACTGGTGGCTGCAACTGAGTGCAAGCAAAGAGCTGGGATTTGCCAAGGGAGGGTCCTGGAGTCCGAACGGGTTGAGAATCACTCGTCTGAGCTTTGCCGTGAAAGCTTTTCTGCTGAAAAGCTGCGTCTCCCCCGGGTCGTGGAGCCATCTGAAAGGAGGACCCAGCCTGGAGGTTCTTCTGGTACGACTGTTTCTTAGGGATGTGGGGACTTCTGTCCCGAAATAATGATTCTGTGCAAAAGCTGGGAACGTGGCTTCTTAAAGCCAGAAGAAGCTGTTAGATGCTGTGGTCTGACCGGCTGAGAAATAAAAAAGGTGGTGGAAATTGCCCAGTTACCCGGAGGTTAAGCCTAATGACTTGGTAGACCAGACCTTCGTGTGGCTCTGGTACACACATACATGTGCATCAGGTATGCACACGCACAGCCCCCTTCACATGGGTCAGGTACACAACCCCCTTCATGTGGATCTGGTTTACGTATCCATGTGTGCTTGCACACATATACACGCACACGTTTTTACAAGTGGTGCAGGTATACGCATACACACTCATATCGGGTACACCTTCATGTGGGTTAGGTGCACACATCAGGTACATGGGGATCAGGTACATTAACACCCTCCCTTCATGGGGACCAGGAGCATGCATGTGTGCACGCACACACACCTCCCCCTTCATGTGGATTAGGAACAGGCAAAGAGGCAGATCAGGTACATACACACACCACTTCACGTGGCTCAGGCACATGTACGTGTGCACACACACACAGAGCAAACTTCCCTGCAAATCTCTGTCCCTGCTGCCCACTTCAAGCTGCTAATCTGTTTGCAACCTGAAGCTAAGCCTGTCAGGGTCCCCCAGGCCCTGCATCCCCAGGCTGCCATTGATTTCTCACAGGATGCCCCACACCAACAGGGTACAAACCCAGAACCCACCCCACGTGCCCCGGCCACCAGCCCAGGAGACAGGGCCAGAAGCCCCAGATGAAACGGTCTGATGAGGGTGAGCAGACCCAGTGATGCTCCTTGTCAGTCTCCTGACTCTGACAGCCCTGGGGATTAATCTGATTAACGTTCACATGGGAGTAATTGAGGCCGGGAGGCTGCTGGATTCACCCCAGAAGGTCCTGAAACAAGCCATGGACACAACCTAGATGTCCCGACTCCCTGCTGCTCTGTTGGCTCCTCTACAGCAGCGCTTCTCAACCTTTTTTGGACCAGGACCCATTTGGAAACATTGATGGCCAGTCCCGACCCAGTGCCCATCATTCCCGACCCACTGCCCCAACCTCCAAGTGTGAGGTGAGGGGGTGTGTGGGGGGAAGGGGGGCCCTAACCAGTCCCTCGCAGGCTGGAGCTCTGCCAGCCTGCCAAGGAAAAGCCACCGTTTCCCACCTTTTCTCCTTTAAAGGAGCATCCGTTCTTTAAGTTTGTTCGCAACCCTTTAATATATTCTTGCAACCTAGTTTTGGGTCACGATCCACAGGCTGAGAAATGCTGCACTAGAGGAAACGTCGAGCTAAAAGCTTTCCTTCTTGGCTTCCGGGTAAGAGGCAGGATCGGTTCCCTGGGACACCTCTGCATATTTAAAATCTGCCTGGAGGAGGCTGAAGAAAGAGCCCTGAGACCTGGACTGAGAGCAGGTTGCCTTTGGCTTGGCCTTCGTACGGGTACACGGGGCATCTCCTTCCCCCCGCGGCTGCCAGCCCATTGATCACAGATTTCCAGCCGGGCGCCTAGGATAACAGCCTGCAGGACCCCGCAGTGATGCTCCCAGCATGGAGCGCTCTCATTGCGATCGGGGGCTCCCCGTGCCTTGCACAGTGTCGGTCTCAGCAGGATGGGAGCTGGGCTGAGGGAGGTGGTAGAAACACACAGGTGAGCACACAGAGGGTGTGTTTGTGTCGGGAAACCTCCGGGCCGGGCTGCAGCAGTCCGGTCTGGGCACTTCTGTTCCACGTACCTGTGAATTTCCAGCCCTTGCCAGTTATTTCTCCTTGCCCAGTTGCTTTGTGGGTATAGCCAGTAAGATACTGGGGCAGCAGCTCGGTTAACAAGGGCCTTTCTGGAAGAGGCTTCGAGAGGACACTGAAAGGGGGCAAGGGCAGTAGCCACTTGGTCCGACTCCTTTATCACAGAGGCCTTAACTGAAATGCCTATCACAGGCACTGGCCTGATTTCCCCGCCAGTGTCTTATACCAGTATCCCTAGCAATGCAGATGTTAAAATGGTGTAAAGGGGCCTCTTCCTGGTTTTATTCCCCTTCTCTACAGCAGTGGCTGGGTGGGTCAGCAGATCTCCCAGTAGGGAGCAGCCCATACTGGTGAGAGTTCTTCCCCTGGCATCGTTTAAACCAGTCTGCCTGAGGGTCTCCGAGCTGGGGCCTGGGGATCCTCGTGGTCTGTAAATGTGGCATCGGCCCCCTCTTTGTGTCAGACTCTGGTGAGGGTCCTAGAGCACAAGACCTGCCATTGACTGGGTCAGACTGTGGGTCCGTCGTGCCCGGTCTCTGGCCACATGGCAGCAGAGAGTGGAAGCTGGAGTGACTGGGTCTGACCAGGGGTTTTCCCCTGTTCCTCTCTCCCTTGTAGCCGCCAGCATTGAAGGTCTAGGAAGTTGTGATTCATGGGCCGTGCTCATCACTCCCGTGCTCAACAGCTACTGATGCCCCTTTCCTCTAAGCACGTGTCCAACCTCTTGGTGAATCTGGCTGAACTCTCAGCTTCTCCCGTGTCTGGTGGCACCGAGTCCCACTCTTTAATTCCATGATGGGTGAGCAAGAACTGCCCGGTGTTTGTTTTAAACTTATCATCTACCAGCTTCATGTATGGTAGACGATAGGTATGTATGGAGAGAGAGAGTTGATAGTGTATGAATAGAGACAGTCGATACTAAATCCCTTCTGATTTTCTCTTTGCCATTTAGTATTTTGTAACCCCTTCTGTCCCCGCTTTGCTAAAGTGCCCAGGCCTGGCCTCTGCAGTCTCCTCTGGAAGCCCCTCTGTAGCACTCGTCATCCTTGTTGCCCTTCTCTGGACCCTATCTAGCTCATCTAGATCCTTTTGGAGCCACGGGGACCAGAGCTGGGTGCAGGATTCAAGGTGTGGATGCCCCATGGGTTTATAAAGGGGCACAATGATGCTTTCTGTCTGGTTCACGATTCCCTTCTCATGGATCCCTAATGTGCTGTTTGCCTTGTTGGCGGCTGCAGAGCTGCTGTTTTTAGTGAACTGCCCGTGGTGATGTCCAGCTCTGATGCACGCAGGTAACAGCCAGTGTAGAGCCTCTCCCAGCGTAGCTCGGGTTTGGGTTACTTCTGCCCAGGGGCGCCACTGGACACGGAGCGACGCTGAGGTCCATCTGCAGTTGCCCCTTTGCTCCCTCGTGCCCAGTCCTGCTGTGGTTCCTCGCAGCCCACCTTGGTCTTTGCCAAGGAAGACCTGGGGCTGCCCCAAAGGCCCTGGCGATTGCTGCCCTTGTGTGACAGGGCAGTGGATGGATGCAGGGAGCGGGGAGGAGGGTGAGCACAGAAACAATGAGCCCACGGTGCTGTGTGGAAAGCAGGGATGACCACAGACCCATTACTGACTCCCCAGAGGGATCCACTGGATTCTTAGCCCTCTTTGCCAACTGGCTGGCAGGCAAGGGGAGATCTGGGCCTGGCTGTCCGAGCCCAGGGCCTAAGTGATGCGTCTGCCAAGCAGGTAGGGGTGATACGTGTGGCTGCCCATGTCCCACGGCGCACGGGGACCCAGCTTCTGCAGCCGTCCTCTCCACTCACCCAGTGCACATCAGGGGCTACCAGCAGGCAGAAAGCTGCGGTCACCACGAGGCAGGGCTGCCGCAGAGGCTGGGAACAGGGGGACCAGGACCCTGGGTCCAAGTTCCAGCCTGAAGCTGCCTCCCTGGGTGGGGTGACCCTGGCTGGATGTGGCTCAAGCGCTCAGAGCTCCTGCCGCGGACTCGTGAGCAATGGGGACATCAGGAGCCTCTGCAGCCGCAGGGCTGGGCCCTGGGGAGTGGCTCTGGTGTCTCCTGCAGGCACACGCCCGGGGGAACAGCAGGAAATGTTCAGTGCGGATTTGGATAAGGCAGGAATTCGGATTAGCGCTGGGGTTGTGCAGCACCGTCGGTCACGCATCTGGGGGCAAAGGGAGGACCTGGGGAAAAAGGCTGCAGGCTCCACACCTGGCTTTGGGCCTCTGTGTATGGCAGGGTGTGTGTGATGGATTGTGTACGCGTTTGTGCACATGAGTTTTTGGTTGTGTGTATGTTATGGGATGTGTGTGCGGGTGTGTCCATGCATCTGTAACAGGCTCCGTGTGTGTGGGTGTGTTCATGGATGTGTGTTATGGGTTATGTATATGTTATAGGCTGTCTGTGGGTGTGTATGCATGTGTGCTATGGGTTATGTGTGCATTACAGGCTGTCTGTGGGTGTGTTTGTGCATGTGTGTTATGGGTTATGTGTGTGTTACGGGGTGTGTGGATGTGTTCTTGCATGTGTGTTACTGGCTCTGCATGTGCATGGACTCTGTGTGTGTAGGTGTGCGTACACACTATTGCTTGGTCACCGGCTACGTGTGTGTGTGTGTGTGTGAGATACACAGGACAGTAACTGCACAGGATTCACAGTGTGGTTGGGCAATGGATTTATAAACGGGCACCACAATACTTTCTTTCTTGTTCGCAGTCCCCCTCTTAACCATCCCTAATGTGTTGTTGGTGATGGCAGAGCACCGCTAAGGGTTTAAGTGAACTGCCCGCCACGACTTGCAGATCTAACACAGAGGGTTGACAATGATCCGTGGGCTCGGGAAGCATTTGCCAAAGTCTGTGCCGGACAGTGGAGACGTATCCATTGGGGGGGGTTCTGTTGGCCTGGCTGTTTGCAAGGGGGCCAGGAGCTTCATAGAAGGATCCAAATGAAGGCAATGTCAGGGGGAGCGTATAGCGAACACCCGCCCTGCAGGGGAAAGGGGTAGGATGAGTTGCAGGGGGGTGGGATGGGAATGAATTTATGGCATTGCAGTTTATGGAAACAATCTCCCAGTGGTGACGGGGCTCAGAGGTGACTTCACTTTAGGGGGACACTAAAACAGATCCTTTTAAAGCCCAGGACCCTGAAATTAAACACCTGGGATCACTGGCTTCTCTGGAGAGAGACCTTGGTGGCCTAGAGGTGTGAGCCCTGGCTATTGTGAACGATGGCTCATCGGAGTCTCTCCTTCTCTGCTTAGGTTCAATCCCGCTCCTGAAACCATCTGCTACAAGATCAGCAGGGCCCTGATCAGGAGAAAAACCGGACAGACGGCAGAAGCACCTGCAGGCCAAGACCAGACGGCAGCCGCCCTTCGTGCCTGCATTGCCTCGAGGCGGGATTGCACAGGACTGTGGGTAACGAGCTGGAGATCCCCAGTGACTGATAAGGCACCAATTAGCTGCCAGCCTCCCCACCCCTGAGCTTCAAAACAAGGCTTATATTGGCCCTATTTGCCTTTCTTTCTTACATATATTTTGCAACCAGGGGAATCCAGTGGGGTTTGCCACTTCCAGGAGTCCCATCTCCCCTCTACTTTGGGAAACCATCAGTTTTCTACCTCCTTCAAAGCCCCCAGAGGCAGGTAACGTGTGTCCTTCCCAAGGCCGTCTGGAGCGGTCCGTGCCCACGCCACAGGAGGGGGATACTGCCTCTCATCTGCGCCCAAGAAGTGAATGTAAAACGCACCGGAAAAGCCAGGCTGGGGGTTGTGCGTCCGTCAGGCGCTGGGTGGGGCAACTTCGGCTGAAACCTCCCAGTGCCTAATGAAGATCTCGTTAAGTATCCCACACTGGGATCTCCTTCGATAGCCTCGGGAATGTGACTTGAGGCTGACTCTACACTGCCAGACTACTTCCACTTGCTGCTTTTTATTGAGACCCACATCACTGCCCGGGGGCGTGAGCCAGGAAAGGTTGAACCTGCTGATTATAAGCTCTAGGTATTTATTTGGAAAAAGCTGGTTTCCTCTTCCTGGCAGGGGAGACTTAGTGCTTTAAAAGCCCTGTTTGGATATCGAGAGGGATTTTTTTTTCCCTCCTGGGGGAGCTGGAGACAGGAGCAAAAGACCACACGGAGCTGGTGGCTGGCAGGGAACACTGTCGTAGCTGGCACCAGGGGAGATCTGCCTCAGTGGATGTGCTAGAGACACGGCCTGTCTGCACTGATGGAGCCAGTGGAGGCTGAGCCAGCCAAGAGCGATGGGGTGGATGTGGAAGGCGCTAAGCCTGGAGCCACTCAGGAGGAGAGCGTGGCTAGCATGGTGGATGGGAACGCGGCAGATGGGAACGCGGCCAGCATGGCAGATAAGGATGCGGCAGATGGGAAGGTGGCCGGCATGGCTGATGGCAAAGGGACTGTGGCACCGGCTGGTGGCAGGGATGAGCTGGAGCCCACGGTTCTGCCAGGCACCAGGTGTATGGACAGCACAGAGGCCTCTTCTGAGCAGAGCAGCCTGAGCCAGGAGGAAGGGGCGAGCCCAGAGCAGGGGGGCTCCCCATGCCAGGATCCAGCTCCAGTGGCAGGGCCTGGGAAGGCTGTGGAGGAGCCAGATCCAGATGCCAAGGAGGCACCGTGTTCCCCGGACGAGGCCAGCCTGAGCGCAGGCAGTTCCGAGATCCCCGGGCCCAGTGCTGCGGCGCAGGCGGCGGAGGGCCCCCAGGCCCAGTCGCCCAGCAGGGAACAGGACCCTGAACCCGACTTCTACTGCGTGAAGTGGATCACATGGAAGGGCGAGCGGACGCCCGTCATCACCCAGAGCGAGAATGGGCCCTGCCCACTCCTGGCCATCATGAACATCCTCTTCCTCCAGTGGAAGGTAGGGCAGGCCCCAGGGTGGAGCGGGGGGAGTGCAGCCTGGAAGTTAGAGCATCAGTCTGGGAGGGGGGGAGAGCAGGGATTGTAGCCTGTCTCTGCCACTGACTTCCCACCTGCAGCCCTGGTCATGTCCCTCTGTCCCTGGGAACATGGGAGGGGAGGCTGTTGCCATAGAGACAAGGCCTAGAAAGACCCTGGGAGGCTGCCCCCCTGCCCTGGGGCTTGCAATGCATGCTGAGAAAAGCATCCAGATACTCACTCCCCCGCCACTCACAGGTGAAGTTGCCTCTGCAGAAGGAGGTGATCACGTCAGAGGAGCTGATGGCGCACCTTGGTAAGTGGCTCGGGAACTCCTCTGGGGCTGAGGAGACGGGGAGGGCAGTGGGGGCCAGGTCAGGGATCTCCCACCTGTCCTGTGTCTCTACCAGCTGTGGTGGCTGGGTCTACTCCCTCTCCCCCCCCATGCCTGCAGGGCTGAGTGATGGGGCCTGGCCAGAGACCCCCAGCCTTTGGCTGTAATCACAGTCTTGAATGAACCCAGTGGCTGCTGGGGAAGCCCAGCAATGGGTTCTCCTACTGCCCCCACACACCTTGCCTTGGTCATGTCCCTTTGCCACCCCCTACCCAGTGGGGACAGCTTGGCGGCCCCTGATGAACTATCTTCTCTCTCCAAAGGCGACTGCCTCCTGTCCATCAAGCCCCAGGAGCCCTCCGAGGGGCTGCAGCTCAACTTCCAGCAGGTGAGGAGCTGGGGTGCCTCCCACAGTGGTGAGAGGTTGCATGTGCAGGGCACTGCCCAGCCTGCTCCCAGCCATGAAATGTGTGCTGTGCCCCCCTCCTGCCCACAGGCCCCAGCTCTGGGGAGGGAATGGGACTGAGCCCCTGCCAGAGCCAGGCATGCCCAGCACAGTGCCCGAGCTGCCCCTGGGCAGGGAGTCTGCAGCACCCCTGGGTGGAGGGGGCAATACAGACCCCCTTCCAGGTGCCGCTTCCCATTCATGGACTCAAATAGGGAACTCAGGGGTCTGACTCCCTCCCCCCCACCTCAGCCTTGGCCACTGGACTCCTGCTCCTTGCTCCAGGAGGAGAGTGGACCCAGTCCCCTTGGGCAGCTGGAGAGAACCCAGAAGTCCTCGCCTGTCCTCACAGCACTGCCTGCTCCAGCCGCCCCCCATGCTGGGAGATGGATCGTGCCCGGGGATCTCCGCAGTGCCCCAGGGGTATCATGCCATCCTCCTTCCCTCCCTCCCGCACCACAGAACGTGAGTGACGCCATGATGGTGCTGCCCAAACTGGCCACAGGCCTGGATGTCAACGTGCGCTTTACTGGAGTTGCTGACTTCGAGTACACACCTGAGTGCATCGTCTTTGACCTGCTTGGCATCCCCCTCTACCACGGCTGGCTCGTGGACCCGCAGGTTGCCCACCACAACCCCCCGCCCCTGGGGGGGAAATTTGGGTGGGGGGACTGGAGGAGTTGGGGGTCCGACCTGGGACTACTGGGGCAGCGGGGGGCAATGGGGGTGGAAATGTCACACGGGCCAGGGGGTGGTAGCTCAGGCACCACGTGCCAGGTGCTGTGTTGGGAGGTGGCCAACTGCCCCATGACCAGGCTTTGGGTGGATGTGGGGGGCTCAGAGGATGGGGTGGGCAGGAGACCTGGCCCCAGGGTTCCCCTTGGGGGGTCTGAATATGGCCCCCCCAGTGCTGCCCAGGCTTACAACACCACCTCCCACACCCCAGACCCTGGAGGTGGTGCAGGCAGTGGGCAAGCTGAGCTACAACCAGCTGGTGGAGAAGATCATCACCTGCAAGCACTCGCCAGACCCCAACCTGGTCACAGAAGGTAACACAGCCCCCACCCGCCGGCCTGTTCCTGTATTGCTACCAGTACAACCAGTGCCTGGCAGGCTCCCCCTAGCCCTCTCCTCCCCCCCACCCCCTATTTCTACATACACACTCATGTCTGTCCTGGTCTGGCCTCCAATCACATTAACAGCCCTTCTCCAGCCCTTGTCTAGTCCCACTGCATCCTGGGGACCAGAACACCACAGAGTATTTGAGATGCGGGCGCACCGTGGACTTGTGTAATGGCACGGCAATGTTCCCCATTTCCTTTTCAATATCCTTCTTAATGCTGCCCCTTTCCCGGCTGTGGGCACAGGCCTGATTGCCGAGCAGTTCCTAGAGTCCACGGCATCGCAGCTGACATACCACGGGCTGTGCGAGCTCACGACTGCTGTCCGGGAGGGCGAACTCGGCGTTTTCTTCCGCAACAACCACTTCAGCACTATGACCAAGCATCAGGTAGGGCATGCGGCAGGGTTACCAAGTGTCAGTCAAGTAACTGACTGTCAGTAAAAAAAAAAAAAGTGAGAAAGGCTGTCAGTAAACAAAAAAAAATGTAGCCGTCATTAAAAGAAAATTGTTAAGCAGCTTCAGAGCACCCTGCAGGAAGCACTCTCTCAACCATGTGCTGCTGCTACTGCATCCCAGGCTGCCTGTAATACTGCTGGGATGGCAATAGGCTTCTTCGGGGGTCTGTATCAGGATGGGAGGAGCAGGGCTAGAGGGGATAAGGCTGTGGGGGGCTTCAGGGTATGGAGGTGAGTATGGGGCCCCTGGCAGGGGTTGGGGAGGCAGCACAGACTCAAACCATCACTGTGGTCAAGCAGCCAATTTTTTTTTACTGACAACCTAACATTATTACATTTGTTTTATTTTTGCTGTGGTTTAACCCCTAAGACTTAACCCAATTTTTCTACCTGGGGCCAGGTAGCAAAGAGAGCTCAATTTACATGATATGAAACACAATGTCTGTAAAAACATGTGTCAGTAAAAAGGTTAAAAGCTGGCAGATGGTCAGTAAAGAAAAAAATATTCATGAGTGGGGACTTGGGGCCAAAGGCAGAGCAAGGGGCACTATGGGGGGCTCCAGCCTGGCTCTAATGTCTCCCCCATCCCCCTCCCCATCTAGGGCCACCTGTACCTGCTGGTGACGGACCAGGGCTTCCTGAAGGAGGAGTGGGTGGCCTGGGAAAGCCTGCACACAGTGGATGGCGACAGCTGCTTCTGCGACACTGAGTTCCACCTGAGCCACTCACCCGGCAGGGAGGTGCCTGTCAGCCCCCCACAAGGCCAGCAACAGCTGGATCAGGTGCGGCTGGCAGCAGCACAGTTCAGTGGTTACAGCAAGTGGGCGGGCAAGGGTGGATACTGGGGAGGCCGGACTCCCCAATTCCCTCCTCAGCTGCCTTGGAGTCTGGAGGCGGAGGGAGAGAACCCAGGAGTCCAGGGTCCAAGAAGGGGGCAGAGTTGCAGGGCCAGGGCAGGGTACTGGGGCAGCCAGGACTCCTGGGTTCTGTCACAGGGTAGCCCTGGGGTCCTGCCCTGGGTCTGGGCTGGACATGCTGCCCAGTGGTTAGTGCTGACAGCTGCCCCTGCCCCCAGGACTACATCATGGCCCTGTCGCTGCAGCAGCAGCAGGGCCCACCCCCGCTCAGCGACCTGGAGCTGGCCCAGCAGCTGCAGCAGGAAGACTCCCAGCAGCCTCCGCCACAGCCCCCTCCGGCCCCCCCGGGGCAGGTAACCCGCCCCCCACATCCCCCTTGGGGCCAATGAGTCCCCCCGCTTCCCCTCCAGGGCAAGTACACCCCTCCCCCAGTCCCAGCTACCTGCTGGAGGGGTCCAGCTGGTGGGCTGCAATGGCCAACCCACCAGTATGGGGTGCTTCCAGGCCAGGCTCTGCCACCCCCGCTGCTCCCGACTAGCGCTGCCATCCCGTGGTCCCCAAGGAGGGGGGTTCCCAGGGACTGGAGCCAGCATGGAGCGGAGACTCGGACACCTGGGGTCTCCCCCGCAAGGGGAGGGGGTGTTGGGAATGGAGCCAGGACTCCTGGGATCCACCCTTGGTGGTGGGCTCAGGTGAGTTTGGTGCCCGTTGGTGCCACTCATCCCTTCTTCGCAGGCCCGTGGGAGAGCAGGTGGTGAACGCCGGCACCGGCCAAAGCCTGAGTCGGACTGCACCCTCCTGTAGAGCTGCCTGTGCCGGACCCCTGGAGCTCCTGCCCTCCCCGCCCATGGGATCCCAGCTGCCAGGATCCACCCCAAGGAGACCTCGCTCCCAGCCTGGGCATCGTGGCAATGACCGACCCTCTGGGCGGGCTCCCGGTAGTCCTCCCTTTTCCCCATGCTGCACCTCTCGTGCCTTGTAGCTCTCACCAAAGATGCCCGGCGCCCACAGCCTCACCCCCCACCTCCGACCCCTGGGTTCCCTATCAGGGTTGGCATCCAGGACTTGGCCCCTACTGGGACCAAACCACCCTCCTCTCTCTGCCCTGCACAGAGTGCCAGGCCGGGGCTGGGGGGCATGGTGCAGGGTGTGGGGTCTCCACCTGTGTGGGGAGGGGGTATGGGAGCTCCTGGGATGAGACTCACATGCTGCTTTGCTGGCCCTGCCCCATAAGCTGGGTTGGGCCTGGGGTGCTGTGTGCCCCCCTGCAAGGGTGCTGGGGTCTGGAGCTCTTGTGGGGGGTTGTCGGGAGTCTCCAGTCTCTGCTGTGGTTTCTGGGCCTTTCCTTTGTACCATGGCCCTTGAGGGGTTGGGAATAAAGAGGTTTCTTTTCCCCAGGGTGCCAGCAGTGCAGGTGTCTGTCTGTCCAGGGGAGAGGAGAGGGAAGGGAAGGGGCAACGGGAATCCACCCACTCTGCTTGATCCCCATTAGCCCCTGGGCTGATCCTCCAGCTGGCCTAATGCATGGCAGCCTCATGGGCAAACTGAGGCATGGGGCAGGAGAGGTCCAGCAGCACCCAGGTGTCCTACTTGCCCATTCCTGGCTCCTGCGCAGAGCCCAGGAGTCCTGCCTTCTCTCTGCCCTACCCCCTCCCTCCTGCAGTGAGGAGCCCAGGAGTACTGGGCTGGGCCCGTGGCCCATCTCCTCCTGGGGTGATGCTTGCTGTGAGGCTGGGCTGGTAGGTGCTGGGTCCCTGGGGTGGGGGTGGGGGCGCCAGGCCGGCTGG